CCCCCCAACAACAACAACAACTCGGCGACAATAAACACAGCATACAAATTCATGTTTCTGGTTGGTGTATGACTATGACTAGATCTATGATAATTCAGATGTGCCTTGGTCAGCTGCTGATCGGATGCATGTGTTCGCTACGCACCCAATGAGTTAAACAGTTTTTTTAAAAACCGCCTGGACATTGGCCTTTACAACAACAAAACAAGTAATATACCGCTGTTTTAATATTATGTCAATTAGATCGTTGACCACATTTTAATCTGATCATTGACCAAATTGAAGCCGGGCTAAGAACTGTCGTGAATGCAACCAACTTGTGTTTCGCGCGCTCATGTGACCTTATACAATTGCAAGCGCCGTAAAACTCTTAGTACTCTTATTAAATTAACGCCTGGACATTATCACCGCCACGCTTGCTTCCCCTTTCTTTCACACTCTCAATCCGCACCCATCAAGTTTCGTTTTCTGCTGGCCTTGCGGTTGATGTCAGCTGTGCGAGGACCCGAACCAAAAAGAGGCTATGAGACTATCCTATTTTAGGTGACCAATCACAAACGAGGAAAAATACCCTACGTCACTTCCTGTTGGTGTCTCGATAGCCCACGCCCACTCCGCAGATCTCAACTAAAACACGCGGCGGATTGCCAGCGATGTCAGTCAGTCTTCATCTGAAGTCGAGGCGTGATGCATCAATTTTAACTTGAGTACAATCCTGTAAACGAAGAAGTTCAAACGTTCATCTTGATAACTATGTGTAGTGATCTGGATTTCATTTGAGGATTCTTGCGTTGAGGGATACGTGTAACCTTGAGTGACAAAGCTTTCAATTTTACCAGACAAGCGCGTCAAAGAGAGACTGTCGCCTGCGACAGCTGATGACCCAGCCAGTGTGGTGTTCACCAGTCTTGGCGTTGTAGCCACCACATGTATTCCTTTCTATTTCAGTTCTTGGATAATGTTTTCTTTGTTCACGGTGTCGGTTTTAATGTTGTGTATGTAAGCGGATAAAGTTCTTTATTTTAAGTGGATTTTGTCACTACGCCTTCGGTCTACACAAAACACAGGAAAACACCATGGCGTTGCGTGAAAACAACAAATTAACTTATGACTTGGATACGGCTATGGCAGCACATTGTTTACTAGCCATGTCTAATCGCCAGAACGACCACACTTATGTTCTGACTTGTGATCCACCCGGGGTTGGTGAAAACTTTGATTGTCGTCCAAATGGCGATGAGTTAGCTTGTAAACAAGAAGTCAAATCTGAGTCTGAAGGAGAAAACAAAGAGCAAGATTGCAAGTATTCCCCAGCCCCAAGCACTGACTATTCTCCTTCTCCCGGGGAAAATTTAAGCGAAACGCTAGTCGCCAGAATATTGACAGACCTGAAATCCTTCAAACAAGACAATGATTATCATGAAGAATTCAGTATTACTGTGAGATCTATGGGTAGAGACAATACAGTGAATGAGTACGAAATCAAATCTACTCCGAAAAGCAGACAGACCACGCCTACTCTCAATCAGACTCGTTCGGCCATGGAAGGTGCTTCTGGAAGGGCGAGCAGTAGCATTCATGGGAAAAAAACTCACTCGTGTCCCTATCCAGCCTGTGGTAAATCTTACAACAAAAGTTCACATTTGAAGTCCCATATCAGGACGCACACCGGTAAGTTTATTTTCATTCGATATTGTTTGTGACCATACGATCAAATAAGCAGCGCGCCATTTTTCTTCTTTGTTTGGGTTGTCACTGAGTGACCGAAGCACATGGGTCTGGCCTTCTTTCATAAGAAAATTTCCGTTGTCCCGTTGAAACTTTTTTTTATGGCTAGGAGTCATGATTATGTTGTTTTATTAGTGTTATTGTGGAGACTTTGTATATCTGGTTTCGGTGAAATAGAAAGGTGAAAGGAAAATGACGAAGGGAATAATCTGTCGGCGTTGACCTACTTTTCCACAAGTGAGAGGTGGGCGTCGCCCTTTTCGTCCTCTGGCAACACTTTGTTAGCCCTTCAAATCTAGGCTTGTGATAAAGCTCTGTTCTCACTGGCTAACAATTTGTCTTTGAGTTTGTAATATGGGGTCAGTTATGGACGCTACCCTCACCTTCAAAACTACATCAATGGAATTCCAAGCTACAATTTATACGTGTACTTGGTAATACAGCCATTTACTTAGTTTGTTGTGAATCTTCTTGTGGTTTAACACCAGGTCTACATGATTAGCATGTATTTATTTATAGATAGTGTTTATACATTTCCATCACCTAGATCTAGATCTAGATTCTAGCTCGTTTCAGGAGGAAACGACTAAACGACTAAGATAAAGAGTCTAAGAATTTTGGTCTGCACAGAATATCATTAACCTATCATTTTTTTTTCTGTTTTATTTCGTCATAAGCAGGCTTTTCCTTCAATTCAGGTTTCAGGGCAGCATATGTGTTGTAGTGTAGTAAATTATGTATTGACCCTTTATTCTTTTTATTATCCATAAAACAACACGCACCCAGGAGACAGGCATATTTTTTGTTGTCACTCTCAAAAACATGCCATGCACACTAGTGGCAAATGTGTATTTATGTTTCTTTCTATGAGATTTACTACATGTAGGCCTATTACTTTCACTTGTAGGGTACTAGATCTAGTGTGTATAAGTTCGGGAGCTATGATGTGGTGGTTGTGTTCAGTGTCTCAAAATGAAGAAATGTGTACAGTATTGGCAAAAGTTTGTTTGTCCATGATGAAACAAGTAATTGCATTTGTGGTGTAGTGGTTTAGTCAGTATTCAACTTTCCCTTCAGAAGACACAAGTTTGATTTGTATGGGGGGCTGGGGGTGTATAGAATTTCTAAGCGAGTATGTTGGTCTTTGTGCTTGGACTTTGCATTATCTCAGGCAGGGTTGAAGCCTTCCTCCTTTAAGATCTAAATTGTTAATATGGGCATAAAATGTTTACTTAAATTAAAACTAAACACAAACGAAAGAGAGGGGTAAAGAAGCATGTGCATGTTGTTGTATATCATGTGATTTGTATCGATTCAAACATTACCACGCACTTTGAGTTTGAATTGTGGGGAGGGAAGGGTGGGTTGTCCACCGAGAGGCGGGGAGGGTTGTGTGTGAGGCGGGCGGTAGCCGTGAGTGAGCGCCTGGTGAGTGTAGTCTGTGAGGAAGTGGGCGTCGGCCCATTGAACGATGGCCTTGACAAATGGAATGACAGTCGAGTAAAGAAAGCTGCTGCGATAGTTGTAGTGTAGTCTGGGTCAAGTGAAGGATGTATTGGGTGCCGCAAAGAGTTGAAGTCATAGGTATTAAACGTATCTTTTAGTAAAGTACCTTTTGAAATTCTCTCGGGGATTTTCTCTATTACAACGACAACGGTGTGTATTTTTGCTCAGGTCAACGGGTTGCACCACACAATACAAGCATAATATCATGGAGGTGTACAACTTCTTGCTTTTGAAGCACTCTCGTTTCCCCAGGCAACCGTTCCCTACTCTACCCCCCCCTCTCTCTCTC